CTCAAAAAATTCAGGTCCTGAAAGGGTTCGATTAGAAAAAATAAAATTGCCCTATATAAAGCGTTGCCATCACAACCGTAAAAGTGTTCATTTATTATAACCATGTACTGTTATCATTTTTGTAGATGAAGTAATAGAGCATTTATCACTAGATGAGTCCAGCACATTTATCTCATTTCACCATCGTTCACCATTTCAATTTTATTGATTTATTTATCAATTCATTTTATTTTACTTCTACTTTTTTTAACAGTGTATCCCCATCAATCACAATTTCAAATAAATTTGTTTTTGTTTACTTTGTTTATTTCATGTCAATCACATTTTTTGCCGGAAGTGGACGTCAGAAATGACAAGTGGAAAAGGTTAGCCTTTTTTTACAGTCTTTGCGATACACCCACACCCATTCAACCCCTCCCTCCCCCATGTAACCCAGCGACAAACAAATTGTTTTGAGAACTTACTAATTATTCTTTTAAATTTAAGTTATTAAGTTCCCATTCAGTGAATTTACTATTTAATTCCTTTTTTTCTCTTTTCTGTGGTGCTGAAGTTTCTGAAAATGTATGGGCTGGATGAAGAAGGTTTTTGAATTGTTCATTCTTTCCTCATTTTTCGCTCCATTCCTTTTCTGTTAACCGTTACTTTTTCTCCTTAAGAATTTAGTCTTCGTAAAGAAAGGGAAAACTGACCACTAGAAAAGAAGTAGACTAAGGTTCTGGTTTCCTGAATGATATAAGTCACTTAAGGGCTTACTTTGTCTTAGATCAGATCAAACGGACTGTAGCGGTCGTTCGATGAGTTGTCATCAGCAGGATTGGTGGCCTATTAGGTCTAATGGCAGACTCTTCTTGTGCTACACGTTCATTCTTAGGTCCAGCTCTATTCCACAGTCTTGCAGAGATGTTTGAAGTCTTGTTGTAAACACTTCAACATGTTTGAACTTTAAGTTCTTCAGCCGTGGCCGCTGCCATGATCAGGGCCAAATTTTGGCTCCATTCGTCGCATCCCGGGATTTTTGGGCATCCCTTGAGAATCGAAGAATGCTAATTCAATTTTTCACAGTTACATGCATTTTTTATATCTTTGCTGCGTTGCATTTGCTACGCTGCTCATGAGGTAGTCATAAATGTTCTAGTTGACAATAGGCATGAGCTCATGCTCCACTTCCGACTCGAGAAATTTCACGGCTGCTTTTAGGCCTTGAATACCCTTTGAGCGCTGTTTCAGATCTGCATGCCAAAGTGCACTCATAGCGTGAGTCCATTTGTACCCGATATGACCTTTGCTTGATTCTGGCAATACGCAGCATCGTGTGTGGTCGGGCGGCCAGTGCAAATGGCGGGTCCCAGCACGAAATAATACGCAGTTCCGCAACGCGACGGCACGTCGGCCCCCACATCATCGCACAAAGTGCTCGGCTTATTCAAATGCTATCATACTGTACAGCCATTGTTTTGAAATTACAAAGCTGCCATTACTGTTCAACTGGACTTTTTGGAACGCTGATAAACTTCGGAATGAATTCTTGCAAAGAAGTCCTCCATATGTCCACTGCTCTTTTAGATATTATTGGCTTAAATAAACTAGATTTTTAACTAGAAGTAGTTTGCAAAGTAAGCCATTTAAAAATTCATTTTTTTTTCGAAAAAGCCATGGAAGGATTCAAATAACATTCCCCTCGCAACCATTTTTTTCAAATTCTGAAGCAATTTTTAGTAAGAAAGCTCAAATTTCAAATTAATTCGCGTTCAGCTAAATGTTAAGCCCTGTTAAAATTAACTTGAATAAAATTAGAACCAATCGTATTGTATCGAAGTTTTTTTACGCATTTCTGCTATTGATGCTATATGATTGTTTTCCTATTCTTTTTCTGTTTTTTTTTCGGTTTTTCGTGTTTTTTGCAGAGAAACAGAAATAAGTTTCTCTTTGGTTTTTTTTATATTTGCCCTTTGTACAGCTCCCTAACCACATTTTTTTTTCATTTTTTTTCACAGCTTTCCGTGTTTGGTAATCGGCTTGATTTCCAGTAACTGCAGCTAAGCGGAAGTCTGATTGCAATAACAATAAATTTCTCGGCAATTATAATCCCCTTTGGAATGCGCCATGCATTCGCCTTCCATTTAGAATCGTGGTGGCATTTGTATGCGGCATGACCCATACAATGAGTTGCGAGGTCAGCCGATGTTCAAGGCAGTGTTTTTTTTTTCGTTTGAGGAAGGAGCGAAACGAACCGTATCAATTATTTTGTTTTGGTTTTTCGTTCTTAATTGACCTCTAGACCAGAACTTTGACCAATTGTCTTACCCTGCGAGGATTGAAAACTTGGTTGATCTGGGCGAGATTCGATCCGAGATATGACCCCCGAACTGCTCCTGAAAAGTGACGGCACTTGCTACTACACCAACTCTGCTCCTGGTTGTGATATCATATAAAATGTGAGTAAGATTTAAATTACCCTATTTTTACATTTTTCGCATAATTGACACCCACTTGCTTCTCCGTCTATTTTAAATGGTGTTTAATGACGCAGTAAAGCAATAGAACGGCTTTTTCCGAGAAATTACACCCATAGGAAGAGCTTAATTGATTACACTGGGAAGCCTGGGGTTTTTTGTATCTGTATCCAAACATACTTGTATGAGTCAAGCGCTTCCGGAAGAATGGATCAGGTGTTGCTGAAATACTTTCGTGCGTTTTTCCAGAGCGATTTCTCGGCCTCTGCTCAGGAACCTTGATATTTTAGAAACGAACCACTGATAGAAAAAACGCTTAATTTAAAAATATTGCGGGGGGGGGGGTGGTGGGTGGGTAGGGGAGAATAATACGCGTAATAAACTTCGATTGCGCACGTGCCTTTAGAAGATTTATTGTAAATGGCTTTTTGAAGACTCGCAACACTTTGACCTCAAGGTGGGTGTAGGTTACCTTTACCCTCCGCTAACTCACGACAATGGCCATCGTTCGGATTCTGTCAGCGCCAACCAACCCTGAATCGTGTCGAAACGATCACTTGTGCCAATCTCGTCTGAGAGGGTAAAAGTCTGACTTTAAGCCACCGGCCATTCATCGTTTTTTCATTGTTTTGGTCGAACACTCAAATGTCACTACGATTCTATGTAAGAAAAGAGTGCATGGAGCATCAAAGAACAGAATCAAACAAGGCTAAGCGATTTGTTTATATCATTATACATTTTATATTTCTTATTATTTTTATGGGCGGAAGTGGTGTAGTGGCAAGTGGCACGCTTACCACGCGAGCGGTCCGGGATCAAATCCTGGGTCGTGAGTCGCCCGGGCCAACCAAGCCTTCCATCCCTCCGGGGTCGGTTAATTGGTACCAGACTTGTCTGGGAGGATAAAAACACTGACTTGTACATCGGCTGGCCCCGCAAGTCATTGTATAGGCCACATCGCATTCAAACGCCACTACGAATGTACAAATGGAAGTAGAATGCGTGCCGCATCCCAAAAAGGGATTGATCAACGGCAAATGCTTTATCCTTTATCCTTTTTTTTTTACTACATATTTTTTATTTTTTGGTTGTTCCTATTTTATGTAACACATCGTTTTTTGTTTTTGTCTTACCTTTTTCATTTTTTATGTCGTTCTTTTTAAATGTGTTTGATACTTTCCTGCAGCAAAGAACGATGGATTCAGAATACCGTACCCAATATAGTCCCCATTATGGGGGAGTGGGAGGAAGCTGAAACCGGCTGAGCTTGAGGGTAATATGTATCTATTCAATACCACCCTTCCTCTGCCATTTTGCATTTCTTACAGTAATGCGTTGTTAAATTAGAAAAAGGCTATTGTAGCGCAGCGGTGTAGAGCGCCACTACCACATGTGAAGCTACGTGTTCAACTACACGTGCTGCACCATATGTGTAGCTACAACTTCAGCTGCACAACACCATATGTGGAGCTACTGAAGCTACACATACACCGGTGCACGTGTGAGATCGAAGTAATCTGCCGTTATTTCTAGGCTCAGCTTAATCACACTGGACGCTACTATGGCATCAACATGTAGGTTACCCTGATAAATATATCAGAATTATTATATTTATTTTTTCTTTGGATATTTCTTAATAGTTAATTTGTGTAAAAAAAACGATACACAAAAATATACAAAATCACACATTATACGAAATAAAGAAAATAAATGTCGTAGTACAGGGGAGGAAAAATATGGGGGAAGCAACATGTTTCCACCACGAAATAATTGCAAAATTGTCCCTAGCGCTCCGGCGATAGTCTGTTCTGTATTGCGCCATGCGTTTGGCCTCCAACTAGAATTGTGAGGTCGATGGGTAAGCCTCAACCTCTTGATCTTACGGCCAATATAGTGGGAGTTGATACCTTTGCCCATTCCCTCATTAGAAAGTAATAATGGGTGACGCGAAACATTTGGTCCGGGACATTTCGTACTTCTATTCTTCATTGCTCGCGTGCCAGCTGAACAGTCATCATCGTAATGTTTTCAGAAGGCGTTTTCTCGAATGCCGCTTACACTGCCGTAGCGGCCGTAGTTATTGTGCCGTTGTATCCGATGCGGAAAAAAGCCCAAATTTATTCGATATCGATTGATTTTCATGTTATCATTGAATAATTGTTTCGCGAAATCGTCCCTTCTTGCACGTTCCTAGCAATGTAGTCAATTTATTACAGGTTGTACAGTTGTACAGACGGTCCCTACTACTTTGCAGTAGGGATCAAGTAGCCGTCGTCGTGACGCTTTCTGTGAATGAGAGCTACTCTGTAAATTTTTGTCCCCCTCATATTTGTCCTGTGGCTAGCACTGTGAATTTTTTTCATTATTTTTGCTCGAAAACAACATCTCAACCACGCTTTTACTATTACTACTACTACTACAACGACTACTGTTACTAAAATAACAACCACCATTTGTGCCACTATATTACTATATACACTACTAAGCTGTATTTATTATTCAATCACATAATCTGCTGCACTATTATTCACGTCAACGTGCACTATGGCTGATCAGCAGTGGTCGACTGCGTTCAATGCGAACGTCTGGAATGGGGCCGTACATGCACGTGCAGGTATGAAAGTCTCTTTTCTGATTTTAGCTTCAACTGCTTAATTGCTATCAAGGGGTAGCAGATTAATGGTAGCCTCAAGCAGGACTTGATTTCACATCCCAAAACTTTTGGGCAAAGTTGTCTACAATGATATCACTGACCCCTTTGCTTTACGGCTCTTTCATAGTTTACCATGCGCATTCAAATCATGTGTATTGATTGGGTGGTTGTGGTGCTGCCGACAGAAGAGGTAATAGGGAGAACAGTAGCACAAATGGTAGTTCCTGTTGCATGAAGCCAGGTGTTGACGCAGGTCAAGCCTACCAGTAAGAGCTTCAGGAAGTACAATAAGTTAGCCCGTCCCAGGTGCTTGTAAAGATATTCCTGCCATTCCCAGGTTCCCTTAGATGTCTCTTTAGATATCTTCTGGATTTATAATAGCTTGATATTGAGGAATACTGAAAAGATGCCAGTGATTTTTGCAACTCTGCCTGCATATCTCCCAGAGAGTAAAGATGGGCTGTTCAAGAGGCAGCAATCGGATTGTTGGTGCTTTAAAGAGAGACTGATCCTATACGTCACCCTAGATTAAGTGTGGGAATGCTTCTGCGCTTCAGATTGAGGCAAGAAATCAAAGTATGAAAGATAAAATATTGGTGCTGATCACTCCCTTGGTGGAATGCGCCGCACATTCCGTTTCCATGCAGAATCGCAGTTTCATTTGAATGTAGTTTGGCGAACGTGCTTTTACAATGGCTTTGTTGGACTCAGCTGATGCACAACTCAGTGTCAGTGTTTTCATCCTTCCAGACAGTTTTCTAGACGAGCCCGACCGAAAAAGCTGGTTGGTCTGGGCGGGTTGCCTGCGTTACTTCTGCTCAGTCGAGAGATTACTTGCAGTGGATGTTAGTATAAAGTTCCATTTTTTAGAATGGCTTTGTGAGCTTGAGTGGAAGTGCCACAGCATGTGAAAAAAGTGAATTTGGCAAGATGGGACAAAGGCGAGAGGACCGTTTCCCCGATCGAGTAGTAGCCGGGCGTAAGATAGCAGAAAGTTGCTTGGTATCAATCTTGTCCAGGATAATAAAAATACTGGACTGCCCACTGATTGGCCTCCGCAAGTGGTGGTATGGCTCGAGCACACATGGGGGGGGGGGGCAAAAAAGTCACTTAGCCCATGGCGCACATCATCAAACTTTTCGTCGCACAGGGTGCCGCTGTTGATGGAAGTTTTACGGCGAAATATTCCTTAGGTGTCCCCCATAAGCAGAAGCAGGCCCTCCTTCACTGCCCTCACCGTCTTCAGAATATGACGTCATCTGCCATCACCGTCGAGCTCAAGGAGGCCTGTAATCGCTCCAGTCTGAAGCTGCTACGTTATTTCTTCACTGTTGAATAACTTTCCGAAAACTCTGTTTCTGCGTATGCAAGACTACTTCCGACCAGCTTTCCAAATGGAAGCCCTCGCTGAGCTCGAACCGTGCACCATATTTCTGTGGAAAATAATAAAATCTTCGATGTAGAAGGCTGTTGTGAAGTTTTGTAATAGGATGGAATGTGCTCTCTAATCTCCAGTTGGGAGCAACTGGTTCGATTTCAGTAAAGTCCGTTTATTATTCCGTTTTGAAGTGGAGTGAGAGTGACTTCTTTTTGCCCCCCCCCCCGGTCTTCCGCTTTATACCAAAATTCGAACACATGGCGCGTAGTCTAATTCCCTATATCTACCAACGTTGGATATCCAAGCGTTCTTGATTGATGACACGAATTTAGACCATTCCGTCAGTAAGCCGATTATGGTCGGCGGCAACAACGCCAGTCAAGCCGCTTCTCCTCGATCAGAATCTTATGGTCCAGGCGTTCTACAAATGGTCGTAGACAATGTCCTGAGTGGTTCTCCGGCGTCTGTCAACACAAAGCACTTTGTAAGCCTTTTTTTATGAAATTTTTTGCTTTTTTGTCTTCTCGCCACTCAAGGGTTTTCCATTATGATGTAGTGGTAGTATAGAAACAGGAATGAGGGGAACCTCTGCCCGATCACTTTCGTAGTACATTTGACATTCGAACTGTGATTTGGGCGAGAATAGGTTATCTGGTTTTAGAGAATGTTCTGATTCTTGCCTGAACCATAGCCTTTTGCGCAGCTTAGATAGCTTGGGCTGGTGCCAGAGTCCGCGATCCAGCGCGCGAATCGCGCGACGGATCGCAGAAATCGCAACTGCCCGATCAGCTGCGAGGTGCGCTCCAATCCCGATGCTATTTCTGCTTAAAGGAGGAATTCACGATTAGAATGAAGGTCGAAGGAAGAGTAATTGACCTAGTTGAGGGACCCACGGACCTCCTGAGGGTGCGAACTGACGCGCAATTCGCATCGAAAAATTTGACCTCGGCGACCTATCATGCCTCAAAGTTGGCGGGTCTGGCGATCTCCGCCCACCGACCATCTGATCACTCGCCGCAGTTCTATACGTGGCGAGTGATTAGATAGCAGAGAGAGCGTAGTGTTGAAGAGGGCACAGCGATGAGAGTCGCATCAATGCTCAAATCAACGGGCAAGGAAGGGGTCCCATTTCTCGGGTTCTGGGCCGTTTCTCATGGTTCTTCCTTCTTTCGTGTACCACTCACCATCCCTAGGTTAATTTGAAATGGGTTGCCTTTCCAGCGTGAATTCGTCCTTTAAAGTGATGGTTGAATGACGACTGCTCATGATTCTACTTGTTTCATATTCAGTGTTTCAAATGTTCAAATGGAGCACTTGCGAATTACGCGAATCGCGTGACAGTTCGCGGACTCTGATACTAGCCTTAGAGGATTGTTTGAGCTCGAGTACACTAATAAGGGCGAAAGGGAAGACTTCGGCATAGTCTGGGAAAAGGCTCCAATATGGGAGAATGAGAAGAAATTGTGTAGAAAATTATAAACCCAACAGAAGAGTTTTAAGTCCATAAACGCAACGGATTGCGGGACAGCGACACTGGGTGTGAAGTGGCATTTTGTTGGGATTCGACGGAACTTAAACCAGAGCTTGTTCTTTGTGTGGACCTTCCCCCCTTGTTTTGTCATTATCCCATTCGCCTCAGGTCCTAGCTTTCTGAGTTTCAACTTTGGCCGTTGCCTGACCCATGTGACTCTCCTTCTCCTGTCATGAGACTATTGATCACCTGAATTGGGAATGGACGAACCCTCTATTCAGCAAGTACCCTTTACCTGTCCTAGATTTTTGGCCAAGTTGAAGCACTTTCAGATGCCACAAAGGAACGACGTATCGATGCGTTTTGTGGAGCGCAGGTACCTTAAGTCTTTTCCTTAAGTTTCTCCTTCCTTAAGTTCTTTTAGTATTATTTTTCAAATATTGCCTTTTCCATTTTTCTGAATCACCACTGATTTCATTTTGAGAAGAGCTATGATTTAGCGATTTCCCTTCACGTACTGGTAACGAAGACAAGCGATCTGACGTCGGTGGATTGGGACTCCCACTCTCATACGCTGTTCCCGTGTTCAATACGACATCGGAAGGCCATGTGGGGACGCCTGACTTCCAGGTAGAAATTTTTGAAAACTACGTCCATTTGACTTTTGTTGAAAGCTTTTCCAGAAATGTTCGATAAAGGGAAGTTTAGGGTAAATTGAAATCAAGTTAACACCCCATGGTAAGATAGGTGAATATATTCCTCTAATGGGCAGAATATAGCTGTCCTTAAAGGTCGTGAAGAGCCGTTCTCGCGCCTTGAGCTGCACTAGAGCCCAGCCATGACCGCGACTGACAGCGCAGTAGCCTGTTGCATACAAAGCTTCTGCGCCCCCGATTGCCGATTCGCTCCTTCGCCCCATGTCTGCTCTCTCTCTTCAGCGCCCATATCTTCTATCTCACGATCAGAATCTTACACTTTTCCACTGTTGGGGGAAGGGTGCCCTTTCGTCGGCTTTTTGGCTTTTTTCTCTATTTTAGTTTTACTTTGCGCCTTTAGCTGCATTCTCAAGCGTCATAACTAAACCTGGCTGGGTGGGCATCGTGGGATACGCTCTCACAAGCGAATTCACCATGAAAAGGCAGCCCATTAGAGACAAAAGAGAGGTGGTGCTTCGATAAAGACAAAATAACCATGAAAAGCTGCTCAAAACACGAGAAAGGACCTATACGTTGCTCGTTGATTTCTACACTGACGCAACTCATCTTTGCTGCCCTCTTTAACGCTATCGCTCTGCGAAACGGCCAGACTCAGACGGCGAGAGGATGGGCGGGCAGCGGCGCCAGTCAGACAGGCGGCTGGTGTCATCCTCTTTGTTGCGAAACCCAATCGTTTCGCACCCTTAGAGTCCACCGTTTGACTAGAGGTACACTTCTCCTTATTCAATCTCCACCACATCGTGGGATCCTTTTTGAAGAAGAGTTCCATTCATTCCACCTCCTTAAAAAAATAATGCCTATGAATCATTCTAGTGGGTGAGGGAGAAGGAACATTTGGAACCGCATTTATTCACGAGGCGCATCAGCTACGTATACGGCGTATGGTTGGGCGCGACTATGTTATCGAAGGTTGTCGCTTAGGACCGCGCGGCGAATTCGCAGATACGCTGGGGCTTTTCCTAGCTAATGTTGGACTACTGCAGCTTTTTGTCGCCAAATTAGTCGGGTTGTGGCAGCTCATGCCGTTAAGCCGGTTTCAGACTAACTCAGCGACTCGCTAGCGAATCCACGAATTCGTTACATTTTGTTCGATTCGCGAACTCTGACACGGGCCATACTGTTGTCTTCCCTTTGTTTCAAGTGTTGAGTACTATCTCACGTATGCAGACAGGACGTGACCCTTAAAAGGGAAACAAAAAAGTCAAGAATGATCTATGAATACCCCGTTGCCTAATTCGTGCTAAGTGAGTTGGGGGACCACTTGGCGGCGCGGCAGTCTGCTGGCCATGGCATACTTTCGGAAATCCGTGGAGCCAGGGGGAGTGTAGGCAGTCTAGGGGGTGGGGGTGGGGGCAGTCACTTGACATGCGTGAAAAGCTGGAATGTTCGAGTTTACACTGTCTCGCTCGAGAGAGCCCAGGTGAGCAGACTGCCGCGCCGCCGCGTGCCCCCGCAGCCCATCTAGCACCGTCTAATTTACAAAGAATTTGATGGAATTTATGCAAATGGCTCCAACTGCGTCAGAAATGAGTGAAATGTTTTATTGGAACTCTGATAGTGAATGTTCCTCATGAGGGATGTCTCAACCAGAATTTTCTTGAGATTTTGGAATTCATCTTGGGACCGTATGCTGAATGTTGGGAAGGGGATGGGGATGGGGAAGGTTGGGGAGGTTCGTCGCAGGACCCACTGGGCAACGGCCGCACCTTTGATTTTGCAGCTTTGTTTCCATTCTTTCATCGCTGCTTTTTTGGATGAAGAAAGGTATTTACGAGCGAATATACAATCAGGAACAGTAAAAGGAATGGAAACAAAGCTGCAAAATCAAAGGTGCGACCGTTGCAAAGTGGGTCCTGCGACGAATCGCCCTAACCCTCCCCAATATTCAGCATACGGCCCCTGGTATCCGACATAGTTCATTCAAATCTAAAAATGAAATGAAATTTCGGTTTGTTATAGATCACTCCGTACCTGGTACAAGGTGGTCATGTTATCGGCGGCACGACCACACTGCCGATGCAGTCGAAGGCGTCCGGTGCAGGTGGTTACGGCTACGGCTCCTGGAGTACGGTATACCCAACGAATCATGCGCTCACAACGCCTTCTAACATCGAAAATTCACAAAATGGTGAGCTGCTCTGAAATCTTCATAACAGCTAATAAAACAAAGACTGCGGGTGCTAAGTGGGTTGGGGGGGGACCACGCGGCGGCGCGGCGCTCTGTTCGTCTGCTCCTCCAAGGCTTAGTCGCCGATGGCGCGTATTTCGAAACTGCCACGTGGCGACGAAATAGTAACTGCCCCTTGGACTAAGCCTTGGAGGAGCAGACGAACAGAGCGCCGCGCCGCCGCGTGGTCCCCCCAACCCACTAGCACCAGACTGCGTTCAACTTCAACGGTTTCATCATAAGAAAAGGAAACGTTTTGTGCAAAAGCAGTCGGGAGTGTTCTCCATTTTGTAATACGGTAGGTGCACAATGTACGCAATGCGTCACGAAATGCCATAAGAATCGATAGGACTAAGCCTCGGACGGGAAGGTGATGGAAGACGTCGGCTACTTCATTTCTCCCAAACCCGCTCTTCCTCCCAGGCTTAGCCCTAGAGCAAAAAAAGAAATCAGTCTAATCTACAAAAAGCGAAGAGGTAAGCTTGATTACAGTCATTGAATACACTGTGCACTTACCGTTTTCCAAAATCGAGTATACCGCCTGACTAGTTTTGCATCAAAAGTTCATGTCATTTGATAGATCCCGTTCGGAGGGTTTTCGCGGGGCTGTATGAAGTTGTAGCCGCATGAGTATCGAAAAACTCCTTTTTTAAACATTCTGGTGCTAGGAAGAAGAGAAGAAACCCGGGCTCAATGTGGCTTGGGGGGGGGCGGTCGCCGCCGCGGCGCATGGCATGTTCGCGACATAGTGGAAACTCGAACATTCCAACTTTTCACGCATGTCAAGTGACTGCACCCACCCCCTAGACTGGCTACACTTCCTGGCTCACGGATTCCCCGCTCCGCACTGAGGTATGCGAACATGCGGCGCGCGGCGGCGACTCCCCCCGAGTCTCATTGCGCCGAAACCCGATCAATCTGAGCTATCAAACATGAGGATCAAGGGAATCGGAACACATTTGTGCTTCGGTCTCCGAAGGTGCCACCCGGCTTGAGCTTAGGCTGCTAGTCACCAAGTTATTTTACCTGATCGCTCTTACGGATCTTCTTTTCAATCTCGGCACAAGTCAAAACATAGTAGTTTTAGGTAAGCAAACGTAATAAAAGATTTATATATCGAAAAAAAAATCGAAAAAAGGCTGATAAAGGCCGGAAATGACACGTTTCCGTGAAGTTATCAAATTTGTATGAAAGTGAATGCCATCGTTTGGGAATTTAACTGTAAAGGAAATACGACGACTTCAGCAGGAAACAAAATTAATTCGAAATGCTAAGGTAGATGTAATGCTGAAAATGGTTTTTCGAAATTACACGGATTCGCGCCTTCAACTCGCGCAGCGGTGACTAATGAGAGCGGCCGCGTCAGTCGCGTCCGTTGTCCAATCAGAGGGCGGCGGTTTTTCTGTGGTTAAGTGTTGCTGTAACCATTGAAAATGCTCAGTACTGTATTCTATCCAGTTTATTACGTCTACACGACAGAAACATATTACTCATGGAATTTCCGTACTTACAGTACGTTTTCATCAGTTTCCTACTTTCATTGATTTGTGGTAGATCAAATAAGGAATTTCTGGAGGAATTTGTAGGATAGATCGTATAGTTTGTTTAAAAGATGCACACATGATAAAAGTGATATCCTCAATGATAAACGGAAGCAGGTGGAGGTGCGAAGGAAAAACTCAATCCTGTCAGACAGCTGCACATCTGGGAGGCTTAGCCTTCTTGCTCTCCTGTCCACACTCATTGGCCTGTGTCCTCTTCGTGGAGAACTGTTGCCTTACCTAGTAGGCTATAAATGTAAAAGCCACGGAGATTTTAAGCTTGAAATTCTCATGGTAAGGGAGAACCTCTGCTAGATTTGTCGCCATATCGGGCCACCCAGCTAGACCTTATTGTTGGGTGTGTAAAATTGAACTGGATTTCACTCTTCACTTCGCTCACTGACGAGTTTAGTCTGAAGATGTCCTTCTGTCCCCCCCCCCCCCCCCGTCGATGGGGGGTCGCCAAGTGGTATGCCACACGCGAAATCATCGAAATCATTTCCATCCGGCGATCGCGCAGGCTTCCCCTTGTCACATACCTCAGCTCATCAGCAAGGTGTTCTGGGTTGAAGAGGAATTTTTCGCCACTTCCATTGCTTGCATAAGTTTTATCATCAAACTGAAAATTCAACTAACAAGTAATAGCGGGTGATTATTCGAAACTATCCTTGCCAAATCCGATCCAATCCATTTATTCCCAACAGTTTTTTGATTGAAGAAGTCTCCACCCATTTGTTCCCAACACAGCTTGGTCTTTTGAATACATAGTTGTGGTGCTAGCACTATATACTGCCTTCACTCCATGGACGGAGAAAAAGAAATCATTTTTTGACACAAATAGCGAGGCTTCTTTTGTGTTGCCCACCTGGACGCCCCCAAGAAATGGCACTTCTTACCAGCGGCGCGGTCCGGGATCAATCCTGGGTCGTGAGTCGCCCGGGCCAACCAAGCCTTCCATCCCTCCGGGGTCGGTTAATTGGTACCAGACTTGTCTGGGAGGATAAAAACACTGACTTGTACATCGGCTGGCCCCCGCAAGTCATTGTATAGGCCACATCGCATTCAAAATGCCACCAAGATTACTCTATTACTTTTTTTGTGTGTGTGTCTAAGAGTAAAAGTGTGTCTGAAGTATAAAAGTATAAAATCTTTTATTTACAACAAATTAAATAAATGAACAATAAAAATAAATATTTCAAATCTCAAATCAACCAAATAATCAATCAATCAAATCACTAATAAAATATTAAATAATATTTTATTAGTGATTTGCTCTCACCTCACAATGGTCCATAGGCTTCCACTAACCATAAAGTCGTTCGCTCGGGGAGGAGAAGAATAGCAAAGGAACATTTGTTTAGTTGACAGAGGACAGTTAACAGATCTCATTTTCTGCTGTTCGCACCCTCAATTCGAGATAGCGATATTAGCACGACACGAAGAGTATGTGAGTGATTGTAGCCAATTCAAAGAGGTGAAGGATAAGGGAGTCCTTAAGTATCTATGAGAAGCTCTTATATTCCTGTCTACAGTCTCTGTCTTTGTGAGAGGATGCAGACAGCAAAGAATGGCCGCCATCATCGAGCTTGACTCGCACTCGGCTGCTCCTAGTTTGTGACCCGGTTCTTCTTTGGCGCCTTAAAGGAATCTTCCGCGGAAAAAGCTCCGCCTCCATTACCACAGAAAAACGATACCCCTTAGGCCCCTAGCCTCATGAGCATAGCAAAAAGAACGGAACATACACTCTGTTTCATGCAGCCAGAAATCCACGTGGCACACGTGGCTAAATTCTCGATGAAAAGGTGACATCACGTGTGCTCAAAGATGTTCTTGAATCGATGCCACGTTAATGCCACGTCAATTTCTGCAATTGCACAATTTCTGGTTATTTGAAGGCGAGGGTGGCTGGAGCGGAGTTTCCGTGGAGGATTCCTCTAACTTTGCAAGGCATTATCGAACCATTCTGTTTACAACCGTACGGCTAGTGTCAGACTTTGCGAATCTAGCAGTTCGCTCTCAGCGAATGGGTGTGGCTCGCTAGGACAGAAAGCGACTTTCTCGCTTTTCGCAGCGGGAAACTTTTTCCGCTGCGGGAACCCTAGGTCCACCACTGATCAGGAGTGGACCTTGGGGTTCGCGCCGCGAAAAGCGGAGAAGTCGCTTCCCGTCCTAACAAACCACACCCGTAGCGGATTCGGGAGTCGCTAGCGAATCACTGGTCTCGTTATGAGCAAATCTGCGATTTCTATTAGGGAGTCGTTGGACTCGCAAAGTCTGACGCTGGCCTTCCTCCGTCTCATGCTTCACTGATCCGCTGTTTCAGTAGCGTCCAGGATTGAACCCTGTTTCCTTAATATTTCCACTCAATAATTTTTTCGGCGCAATGTGGCTCCTGGGGGGTGGCAGTCGTCGGAAGGCCACTAGGACTAAGCCTAACGCAGAGGGACGAATTCCGGAGCGAATGAAAATTGCTTACGCAGCTCGGATTCCCTCTTCTCCTAAAGCTTAGTCCCAAAACTGAAGTTTTCGTGAATCTGACGCAATGTTACGGGCTGCCACCCCCTCCCCCTCCCCCCCGGAGCCACATTGCGCCATCATGTGCAGGAAATTATGGGCGCTCAAACAAATCAGCAGAGTTTAAAAATCCATCACCCAAAAAAGCGTCGGGAAATTTGTGCTTGACCCAAGAAGCTGAAAAATTTTTGGGTTTCTTCCAGTGAAGAGGAGCATTGCGGCACATGAACTGCTCCAACCCCAGCTTTGCTCAAGGAGTCCTTTAAAGTTGCGAAGTGTCGGCGATCTCATTCTTACGCCATTTCTTTACGTTTCTTTTTGTATGCTGTACATGTTCTTGTTCTAGATAATATAAACGTTCAGAAAAAGTGATTTTCACCTATTAAACAGCCGGGGCTAAACCTTGAAAGGTGGTTTTCCAAGAACATGAAAATTACTCAGCGTCCAGTTGTCTCTTTCCGTCTTCCCCAATTTTAAGTGGCAATTGATAATGAAAGTAAGTGATTACTATGTTTCCAACTCGTGCAGCGCTTCACATACCTTTGCCCCTTCTTACTGGAATGTACCCAATTTTCTTTAAACAGAGTGTAACTCGAAAGTGAGGAAGTCCTCCAGGATTCAAAGTGTGGAAGGCTGGGGTACCACCAGGCTGTATCACGGTGTGGCTTTCATCTGGAAGAAAAAAGTATGAGAATTTTTTCGTCATGAAAGGGGGAAGGGTTCGCCCAAAATGCGAATGAAAGCCATGCGGACTGTCAAAACACTGTAATGCAGATACTACCAGCCTCCTGCTCCTGGTATCATCCCTTTTTGCTTTTAAAAATGTTTTTGTTACATTTCTTTCCAAAAATTTAGGGAGGGTATTCTTGATAAGAAAAGAAAATAGCTAAATACAGCTCTCAACAATAAAGTTTTTTCAGCTATTGAAGTAGGCAAAATGGATTGCTAGCTGCTACTTAGTGCACCACATATACTTGTACTGAACATTCATTTTTAGGCATCTCGCGTGCGGATGGACTGCCTTCAAATGTTTTCTCGTCATCGCCGCCGTATTATCAGAGCACGATGATGAATATGACGAACAGTATGGCGGCGCTTTCATTCGGTGCTCCTCAACCTCCACCACCGGGCGCAAACACCAACCGCTCTGAGCCGTCATATCAAGGTAAGTTCCACTGCTCATAGCATGGATACGATCCCTCTCACAGAAATATTATAACAGTGTCACAGTATTGTGCAGTAGATCTGTCGTGTCAAAATGGGGTCTCATCCGGTAAGAGGGGGCATTGCGGTGCGCGGTCT